GGGGGGTGAGATGCCCATGTATACACTCGGCATCTATGAGAAGGGCTGGGGAGGGTGAGATGCCCATGTACACACTCGGCGTCTATGAGAAGGGCTCGGGGGGGGGTGAGATGCCCATGTACACACCTGGCGTCTATGAGAAGGGCTCGGGGGGTGGTGAGATGCCCACGTATACACTCGGCATCTAAGAGAAGGGCTCCAGGCGGTGAGACGGGGGAGCATCAGAGCCAGGTGCCCAGAGCCCTGTGGGGCAGGTGGTCCCAGACAAGTCCACTCCTCTCCAGCACTTTGTGCCCACCCACCACTGACGCTCACAAGCACACGGGGAGGGAGCTCGTTCCCCGGGACGCACTGCCCTCCGTGGTTCCTTCCAGCCCCGGTGAAGCCCCGGCGATGGCCCAGTACTCCTGGGCTTCTGGGACCGAGCCTCCCCTCCAGCTCACACTGCCCGTTGAGGAGCCGCCAGAGCAGAATCATCTCGTAAATCTGCTCGGGGCCTTCGGGTCGCCCCTTTAATGCCCGAATCAAGCCCCAGTGTAGTCGGGCCCATGGGACCCACTCTGCCGTTCCCAGCCCGGAGCGTGCGGTCCGCCCCCCGGACGCCCCTGCCACCCTCTGTGGGCCCTCGCCACCTTGCTCCTAGGCTGCCCTAACAGACGCCACACTGCGGTAACTCGGGCGCCGAACGGGGACGATACTGCCCCCCAGCGACAGCGGGCAACGTCTGAGCAGTTCTGTTGGTCACAACGGGGTGGCTGTCAATGGCGGCCAGGGGTGCTGCTCAGCATCGTCCCGGCCCCGGACAGCACCCTGCCAGAGCAAAGGTTCACGTGGCCCCGTGCACACAGAGCCAAGGTGGAGAAACCAGCTCTGACCTTACAAGCTAACCCCTCAGTGAAACAAAAGCCTCTGAATGATCTCTAAACGTGGCAGGAAATTCACCCCCGACACAGAGGCCTTGGCTTCGACTTGTTCTGTGTTCTAAATTAAATGGGCCCACAGCCCTGCGACAGAGCCTAACTGCCGTCTGCCACAAACTCTGGTACCCAGCAGACCCCGGCGCCTCGCACACGGCCGAGGTGGGCCACCGGCGGGGGCGGGGCTCAGACCCCAGGCTCCAGCCCTGCCCCCAGCACCCCTCCTCCAGCTGAGTCCCCAGGTAGGGAAGAGAACCGCGAGGCCCCCAGAGCCCCCGGGGCACGACCCCTGTCACCAGGGAGCCGCACACCTTTCTCCCGCGGTGAGGGCCGCCAGCTTGGCCTCCCCTGGCTGAGGCTCCGACGGGTCGTCCAGAATCCTCTGCATCTGCTGCTCAATCTCCCGGGGCGTCAGCAGCCTGCCATCATGGTAGAGCCAGACCTTGAAGTAGCGCCCCTCGTGGAACACGACGATGTGCTTGCTGTCCCGTATGTGCTGGATGGTGTCTGCGGCAGGACAAAGAATCCGGAGGCGGGAGGTGAGCAGAGGCTGGGAACGTCCCCCGGCCCAACCGTCCAGCGCTCCCGGCCCCTCCCCCCGCGGCCCTCCACGCAGCTCGTCCGTCCACCTCTCAGGAGTCTGTAGACGACTCGGTACAGATCAGAGTTGAGAGGTTTGACTTGTCTCAGCTCCACTCAGCCACTCACTGGACGTATCCTCTTGGGCCAAGGACTTAGGCCCGCTTGAGGGTTTCTACCAGAAAACTAAGCAAACACACCCTTCAAGCCTTCACTTCAAAGTCAGAAATAAGAAGATGCGCACTACGACCACTTCTGTTCCACATTACACCAGGTCCTGGCCAGCACAGTACACGAAGAAAGAACCAACACGATACCGGGATCGGAACACGGGCCTCTCACAGCCACGATTAACCCCAGAAAACCCAACCGACCCCACCAACCACCAGCTGTTTTACATTACTGAGAACACAGCTGGGGAGACACTCACGGTCTAAAATCATTTGCATTCCTCTCCCCTTGAGTTCTGGGCCGAACTGAGCCCCTCCCACTCACATGCTGAGGACCTACCCTCAGATGTGACTGTACTTGGAGGCAGGGCCTTTAAAGAGGTAATTATGTTAACACACGGTGATTAAGATGGACCTTAACCCCACATGACAGGGGTACTTATAGGAAAAGATGAGGACACAGACACACATGGAGGGACGACCCCGTGAGGACCCAGGGAGAGCACGGCCGTCCACACACGAGGAGAGAGGCCTCACGGGGACCCCGCCCTGCCCGCGCCTGCATCTCGGGCTTCGGCCTCCAGGACTGGGGACAGTGAGTGTCTGTTTCAGCCATGCAGGCTGTGGTGTTTTGTTACAATGGCCCTAGAAACTAATACAGTCAGTAGCCAACAACTCAAAAATACACTTAAAACAACAAAAACAATAAAGGAGTTAGGAATAACTCTAACAGACGATGCACAAGACCCTGGCAGAGAAAGTATAGCAACACCCCAATCCCAGGGGGACGTGTTCCGAAACCCCCACGGATGCCTGAGGCCGTGGAGCATATCAAACCCCAGACACACTCATGTTTTGTTTTTTCCAGTCTATGTACCTACTGGAGGGCCGGGGGGTACGTTCTCAGCCTCCCCTAACCTCCCACCTCTGGATTCTTTGTCCTGCCGCAGACACCATCCAGCACGTACGGGACAGTCTGATTTATAAACTAGGTACAGTAGAATAACAATAAAAATTAAATAGAACAATTATAATAACGTGTGCTAATAAAGGTTATGTGGATGTGGTCTCTCTCTCTCAAAATACCTCATCCTGGCCCTTCTTTTCGTGATGATGTGAGATGAGTCATGTAGGCGTGACACAGAGTTAGGCTGATGTTACGGGGGATCATCAGCTTCCACACCGTGGCTGGTTGTGGGTAACTGAGACCACGGAACGCAAAACCACAGATAAGAGGAACAACTGTATGACACTTTATTAAAATCACTTTTAAAAGCGCTGTCACTGGGGCACCTGGGTGGCTCAACCATTTGAGCATCTGACTCTTGGTTTCGGCTCAGGTCATGACCTCAGGGTTGAGCCCCGTGTCGGGCTCCATGCTCAGTGGGGAGTCTGCTTTAGATTTTCTCTCACCCCCTCTGCTCCTCCCACCCTGCTCGCTCTCTCTCTCTCAAATAAATAAATAAATAAGTCTTTTACAAAATAAAAAAAAATTTTAAGAATGCTATTACTGTCCCAACACTGCTTTTTGCCAACTCATCCACTTTTCACAAAAATCTGGCCACAGATCACTGGACTCCAGAGTGTGAGAGAGACAAAGGTTGGCTTTCGAGCCAGAAACACCCCACACGGTGAAAGTACTGAGTGCATTGCTGGAGTCTTCAGAAAGCCTCTGGGTCCCGGAACCGAAAAAGGCTGAATCCGCTTACGGAAGCCCACCCAGAGGCCAGCTTTTATGTTCAAGGACCCCCATGCCTACCACCACAGGACAAGTTCCTGCCCGGGGCTCGTCGTCTAGAGGTACCTGGCTATAACAACACCCCCCGAAAGCCAGATCAGCTTGGGACTCTGCCAGCTTCGAAAGCAGCAGTGGGTTAAAACAAACAAACAAAGCAGCAGTGGGTTCATTTTAACAGCCCACCGTGAGGTCTCAGATGGGGTCCAGTTTGTCACAAGTGGCCAGTATTTGCTACCTACACGGCCATCCAGAGGCTCACAGGTGGCCCAGCCTGAGCCCTGGCTGGTCTGGGACAGTCCAGGTGACGACATGTGATCTCCCTTTCATTCTCGAGGGTGTCCTGGCTCCGATTACGTGGCTGCCCGGCATTCTGCGAGGGTCGGGGATGGGGATCAGCTGTCCCAGGTCAGGCTGCTCCTAGTGAGCTGCTAGATCACAAGCCCAGCCTCCTGAGCACAAGCCAGCATGCATTACACAGGAACCCTGCATGTGAGCCAGAGCAAAACTCCCGAGGGAGCCAGAAGAAGAAAAGGAATATTCCTAACCAGACCTGGGAAGAACACCCTGGGAGACAGCCTTCGACCAAAGAGAAACTGAAGTCTAAAGATAAGTCACATGCCCTAAGAAAGACCGAGGAAATTCAACAGAAGAAATGTTCCTGAACCTAAAATCTCACTCTCTCAGGAGGGGTCAGCATAAATCCGTGTGCTGTCCGTCCACCACCTCCGTCCGCGGCACGTAAGGAGCAAAAATGCTTCCCGAAGGAGCCCCACTCACCCGTCTCCTCTCCCGGGATCCGCGAAGTATTAAACATTCGCTCCCACTGAGCAGAGCAGAGCGGAACTGTGGATCCCAACAGAAAAATCTGCAACAAAAATACGTTTCAAACAAAAAATTCCTCGGGGGGGTGGGGAAGGGGTAAGGAGCAAATGAAACACTGGATTTGTTTTCTGTGCACACAGTGCTTGACTTTATCTTTTCCAAACTGCGGAGAGCAGCTCTTCCCTGGGCCGCCGACCTTCACGGCAAGACTCGCTGAGCCGGCCCTGGGCTCAGCGCCCCGCACCCTTCCTGCCCAAGTAACGCCTTCTCCTCGATCATTTCTCAACTGACATTTACACCACAGACCGTTTACAAACTGACACTTCAACCAAAGGGATATCTAAGAAAGAAATGTGTTGTTCTTCTTGAATAATTTACCAGCTCAATTGTTTTCCTTCAAAAGTAAACAAGAGCTTCTTCCGGCGGGGATTACGGGATGAAGTACAAGAGATGTAGATCCACTTAGAATACACAGGGAGAATGAAATCTCAAAGTAATTACGCAGAGTGAAAGAAGCTAGACCAGAGAGAGAGAGAGAGAACCTACTGTATGATTGCATTTGCACAAAGCTTTGGAAAGTACAAGTGATCCAGAGGGACAGAAGGCACAAGCGAACTTTTGGGGGTGACGGATGTGTTCACTCCCTGGACTGCAGTGATGGTTTCAGGGGTTCGTTATATAAATATCACAGGACCTATCAAACTGTGCCTCAGGCATGTGCACTAAGTCAACGAAGCCGTTTAAAGAGAACTGTTTACAGAGCGGTGTGTTTGCATACCGGCTTGATCTCCTCCCGGTCCAGCCTTCGCCTATAGAGCAGGATGGCGTGGATAGCGTTGCCCGCTCTCGCTGCCTGGATCTGAGTCGGTAGGACGTACAGCAAGTCCTGAAAAGGTAAACACATGTCGGCAGAGAGAACGTCCATGGGAAAAGCCACGCTAACTGAAATACACAGGAGGGCATTTCCACACTGTTAAAATATTTCCATCTGTGTTAAATCACACCTGCTCTAATAGAAAAGAAATTAAGACTGCATTTCCTACACTTGGGCAGCTTTGTGTTTTACAAGAAAATAAAAGTGAAGAACAGAAAGAAAACGGACAAAGAACGAGGCTGGCCAGTTATTAAAGCTATTAAATACCAGTTACCAGAACCCAAACGGTGGGGTTGCTAACAAAACGACGGGAAGTGCCCTCCCAGGCCATCGATGCCTCGGAAGACAAGAACCACCCGGAGTCCTAGGGCAGCGGAGAAGGACGCTGCGCCCCTGGGCCCGGGGAGACGCGGCCGCCTGTCGCCAAGCTCTGGGGGTGGCAGGGACACGGGCCTGCATGCCGCCGTGCATCACAACACAGTGCCCAGCTGCGACAACAGGGAGAGGGGCCCTGCAGCGAGGGGCCACTCACGGCCTCGAGGGTATTTCTCCGAGCGGCTCGCGGCAAACACGAAAGGACAGCCACGCAGCTTTCAGGCCCGGCAAGCAGGTCCTGGGCCCCGGCAGGACGCCTGGGTGAGCGGGAGCAGGGGCAGGAGCTTCCTGGGCGGCCGGCGGGCCCGTGGGGATGCCCACTGAGCCCGCCCAGGGCACTCACCATGGCATAGTAGTTGCTGTTCACCATCAGCGGCCCTCGTCCTCGCAGGTAGATGTACTCCTCCCACCAGTCGCTCACCTGCGGGGTGCCAACAGGACAGAGTGCTGGCGAGCTTAGTGGGAGCCACACGGGCTGGCGGGGCGTGTGGGAGCCTAAGGGCTAGTGTGAGTTCAACACACCCGTGCGGCCGGCTCCTGATTTAAACACAACGCACCTGCCCGCCCCGCAACCACGCCCACTTCCAGCCCCATCTTCCTGTTCCGTCTGGTCACACCGAATACCTCCTCTGTCACACCCCGCCTCGTATCACCCAAGTGGCTCCTCTCGCCCACCACACACGGGGAGGCCCGGCTGGTTGGTGGCACGGACTAGCATGTGCACCTGAATGCATTTCCGCCAAGACAGATGGCGAGTATGTATACTTACGTAGTTAGTAGCCCACCAGGATTTTAACTTCAGATACCACTGCAATTTGGGTCCAAGGCTGACCGCAAAGTCTTCTGCCAGAACCGTCATCCGTTTAAAGTCGGATTCCTTCATTAGAGGCTTCACCGATTCTAGATACTAGGGTTAACACAAAGCACACACGCCAAGTTAAAACACACAGGCCCCTTATCTGCGCCTTAGAAAAAATATAAACCTATTTAAAAGATTTAAAAATCTTCCCCAAGTAGGGATGCCTGGCCGGCTCAGTCCGAGGAGCGTGCAACTCTTGATCTTGAGGTCAAGAGTTCAAGCCCCACGTTGGGCAAGGAGATTACTTAAAAATAAAATCTTTTTTTTTTTTAAAGGTTATTTATTTTAGCGAGAGAGGGCGAACAAGTGGGGGGGGGCGGCGAGGGAGAGAGAGAATCCCAAGCAGCCTCTACACTCAGCAGAGAGCATGATGCGGGGCTCGATCTCACAACCCTGAGCCGAAACCAAGAGCCGGTCGCTTAACTCACTGAGCCACCCAGGCTCCCCTTAAAAATAAAATCTTGGGCGCCTGGGTGGCTCAGTTGGTTAAGCGACTGCCTTCAGCTCAGGTCATGATCCCAGGGTCCTGGGATGGAGTCCCACATCGGGCTCCCGGCTCAGCGGGGAGCCTGCTTCTCCCTCTGACCCTCGCCTCTCTCATGCTGTTTCTCTCTCGCGCTCGCTCTCTAATAAATAAATAAATAAATAAATAAATAAATCTAAAAAAAACAAACAAAAAACAAATAAAAATAAAATCTTAAAAAAAAACCAACCCCCCAAGTTGGTTTTGCGGGTCCTCACACGAGTTAGCCAGATGGCTTTACGTCAGCGACGTAACCGGCCTTTTACTGGCCCTTTACTGGCCTTCTAGTTCTCCAAACAAGCATCACTACAAGATCACCAGAGCGACTTCCGGAGCGACAAGATCATGGTTCGGCCGACAAGGACATCTCACTAGTCTTTGTCCATCATTCGGCCCTTAATGAAAGCCTTATTCCCACCCACTCGACAGTGACTCAGGACAGTGCAGGGAGCATGCCGGGGACGAGCCCAGGACACTGGGAAGCAGGAAGGAGGAGCCAGAACGATGGGACGGGGAAGGCCAAGCTCGGGGTCAAGGCCAGGTCTCCAAGTACAGGGTTGTGGGGCCCCCTGACTTTGAGCAGCCCCACCCTGGAGTGAGAGCACCCAGGTGGCAGGTCACAGATGTGATGGGGTTTCGAGACCATCAGCAGCAGCTGTTGCCATATACACGAGCAAACTTCTAGAAAGTAAGGCCCTCGGTTTATCAGGAAACGTGTCCATCCGCCAAGTTCTGTCTGCCGTGAAAACAGCTTTGGGGCCCCAGGGAGATCTCTAGGACCCCTCCTTGAATGTTTACAGGGAGGGTGCCACTCCAGAAACTGAGCAGCTGTTCAAGTTTTCAAGTTTACTCAAAGTGAGGCACGCGTGAGTGGAGCGTTACCACTCTGAAGCAGCTCGAGTCGGGCACCCCACTCACGGACCCAGAGCTGCAGGTGGCTTGGCCGCCCTCCCGCAGGGCGGGGCCCCTGTCTGCCGCGCCGCAGGTGAGGGAGGGCTCGAGAGAGCAGAGATGAGAGGGAACTTGAAAAGGCCAAGAGGGACGAACTAACCAGGCTGGGATTCAAAAGCCAAGGTTCTAGAATGGGTCCACGGGACAGGCAGAAACCGCAGCCCTCGTTGGCTTCGGTGGGAATGCCTGTGGGATCCAGCCCAGCTGTTCCTCCACAGGTGAAGCAGAGGCCGGCCCCACCAGGCCCCAGGGCCCCGGATCCAGGCTTACAGCCAGCAGACGGGTGTGGGGTTTGGGTGACGGGAAGTTCTGGAGCTAGACCGTGGCGGAGGCCGCTCAATGGGACCATACTCAGTGCCACACAACTGCATGGCTTAAAGTGGTTAAAGCGGTCATTTTCGTGTTATATACGTATACACCACATCTTAAAACAACTAGTCATGTAACGTACCGAAGACCGTTGAATTGGACGCTTCGGGGGAACCGTACGGTATGTGAATTAAATCACAACAAAGCTGTTTAAAAAAAAATTGCAAAGCTGTCTATCAAACGTGATGCTCTGAAAAACACACCTCATGCATGCTGATGTTAGAAAGGAAGAGGCCTCTGACAACAGCCGGACGAGCACACGGCGGAGACCTAATCCGGCCAACCGACAGCCTTCACCCCCGGACGCCCAGCAGCTCGGAGGGGGTGTCCCAGGGAGCTCGAGGCCACACCTACCCTGTTCACGGTGTCCCTGACGGCCGGGACCGGCAGGCGTGGCAGCGACGTCTGGAAGCTGTACAACATGGGTTTTCGGCCCGAAAAGATCTTGACCACACTCTTTAAAAAAAAAAAAAAAAAAAGGTGCGGTTTAAAACGTGAGACCATGTTAAAGATATGAAGCCAGTTCTCGACCTGCCGACTCTTCACTGATTTTCTGGGCTTCGCATCGTCTCCGGTCTGTTTTCCGCCCCGATACCTCACAGGCCTTTGCCAACAAACGGGTGACCCCAACCAAAAACCAGCCCAAGTCTGACGGATGCTTCGAGATGCCCCGGCCAAGCTGGGCACCTGAGGTTGCCGGCTGCCTGCACATCTGCACGGGGCCAAGATCCAGTCGGCTACCTCTGCAAGGCTCTGGGCTTTGGGACGGGCTCCAAGCCCTGGCAAGGGGGAGGGCAGGGGCCGAACGGAGAAGCCTGGACCTGGAGCCAACCCCAGGACGCAGCAGCACCGTGGCCCCTCACGCCTAGCGGAGAGCACACATTTGCCTCCTCTCAGCCCTTGCTTTCATCTGGAAGGATCAAAGTTGGTGTTAACAGTGGGCCATCTCATGCTGACCAGACCTCCGAGGAGCTCCTCGGGCTCACGTAGGGCAGCTGGGACTCAGCCGGATGGCAGCCAGGAATATGCTATCCTAGGGAACACCGTTTAGCTTATTCCGTACAGGGCAGGCGCCCCCTCGGACTCTCTGCTGGGGGCCAGATTCTGCTTCTCTGGAAATCAGCCACCTTACAGCCAGGTGAGCGCAGGAAGTCGGTCTGGGGGGAGTGAGGCCCGTGGGCGTGGGGGTGCCTCTCACGAGCAGCCCCCGGGAGGTGGTGGTCAGCTCGTAGGTGGAGCGGTCAGGGGGGACACTGGGACAAGCGTCCACACACGGGGCAACCAAGGGACACTCAGGCTGCAGCCGAGGAGAGCTAGCAGAACGGCCTGAAGCACAGGGCGAACCGGGGAGACCTGGTCGGACCAGTCGGCGAGGGAAACCACCGAGCGCCCGCCTTCGAGTTAGTCAGAAAAGCTACAAAGTGGACGGGCGTCAGTTTTCCTTGAAGGAGGACCTGGATGGCAAACCCAGCAGACTCTAATATACCATGTTCAGAACTCTCCAACATCATTAAAGGAAAATACCCTTCAGCCCACACTTAGGAGTCACGGTGAATCAACCCCCTGCAGCTCCCAGGTCAACCAACCACGTGTGGAATGGGAAAGGTCCCCGAGGATCCCCCTTTCAAAGTAAGAGTCACTCACGTGAGACCCTGTGAAAGTGAGATGAGCCAGACACGGAAGGAGGAATACCGTGGCGAGGGAGGCAGCGGCCGCCCGGGGCAGATCTCACGTGCTCTTACCACAAAGGAAAAGCGGGGTGGGACATGAGGACGCTCTGGGGGGCAGGGAGCTAAGCTGGTGGCACCGGTAATGACCATGGTTTCACAGGTGCATCCTTACCTCCACATGCACACCGCTAAACAGCCAGGAGGCCTGCTGCATGTCAAGCGTACCCCAAAATAAAGCGGTTAGAAAAAAATCCGCACCAGTTCGGCACCAAGAGTGAAGTGGGGGTCATTACCATCCAGATCTTGGTGGCGCGGCTCATCTTGCCGTGCTGGGCGAACATCCAGCCGTGGTAGGACAGCAGCACCTTGAGGGAGTAGCGCATGGTGACGATGAGGGCCACCCACAGGCCCGTGCCGAAGAGGATGCCGCTGACCACGTTCTTCGTCTGGCTGGACATGCAGCTGCTAGGGAGCGGACACAAGCCGAGCACACGTTAGCGGGGACGCCACGCACTGCCAGCCGGGGCGGCCATCCCTCGACACAAGACCGTGGGCCCCGAAGCCAAGAGGGGACGCCAGGTTCCCTTAGCGCTAGCCCAACTCTCAAAGGCTCAGGCATCACTCTCCCATCCTCAGGACAAACCAAGCCTCCTGTGTCCTCGGGGAAAATGCGCAACTTCCTCCAGGGTCTAGGGACGGGGACAGGGGACGTGTGAGGCGGTGGCCTGCTGGCAATGAAACCCACGCCCTGGGTCCACTCGCACCTCCTCAGCTGGGCGCTCACAGCAAATCTGGGCCGTTCCCTTCCTGTACCTTCTTGTTCCTCAAACATCACTTTGGATTTCGCCATTACTCATGAGACGCTCAGATCATTTGGGAAAACTATTAGAGCTGTTTATATCAAAGGAGCCTGGGGACGCCTGAGTGGCTCAGTCGGTTAAGCGTCTGCCTTCGGCTCGGGTCATGATCCCAGGGTCCTGGGATTGAGTCCC